CAGAGAGACACGGGATTGGCTGAGACCAGGTGGTCCAACATGTCTGCGCCCTAATCCGACGCCACACCACACCACACCACCGCTGCTTATGCACAGCTGCCATCCAAAATGAATTCCATGCTGTGATGAACTTTATATTGTAGATATAATTTTCTGGTATTTAGTTTTTCGCACTAATTTAGATAAGCATCGTTTGGTTTGCAGATTATTGTATTGGTTCTAGACTTTGGTATGTGTTCAGTAGTGAAAAAAACCTCTGGCGCTTTTGCTTTAGATATTTGATGGTGTCAAGGCCGATAAAGTACGTTGGTTCAATTAAATTTGCCTTAAGTATCGAAATTAAGGTTTTAGCTCTATATGGGCCACTAAACAACGTAGTTTAATTGGCTTCTATTATTTTTAAATTTTACGTTACGCCTGTGCCTTAAAATTGGACTCGAATAATAAAACATCTCGTTTGACGTTATTGGTTTAACAATTTCATATCTTTAGCTGTCTGACACTATGTAACGTTTTACGTTATTGTCAAGTTTGCATGTTACTTTAGATTCTCACATGCAAGCTTCAAGTGATGATGGCTTCAATCTTCATATCGATCATTCAACTGAAATCATTGGTCATGTATCGGCTCTCTTTAAAAGCAAGGACTACAGTGACATCTCTCTGGTAGTGGGTGGAACGCAGTTTCTGGCGCATCGTGTTATCCTTGCTTCGAGGTGCGATTATTTTCGTGCTCTCCTCTTCGGTGGCCTTTCAGAGACACATTCTTCTACCATACACTTAAATGGAATCAATTCTACTGCGTTTTACCATGTGCTTGGATATATTTACACAGGGAGACTTGACATTTCCGGCCTCACCGTACGTTGTAGCCACTGCAGTTCCTAAGCAGTTACCAATTTTTATTTAGCCGACGTTGCAGTATTCTGCTCGAAACCTTAGTTAGTGATTTTACCTACATATTTCATACCTTTAAGAATATGCGCTAAAATTAGATTTAATGTGAGCCCCATATTACGTATACGAGGTACCCTCTATGGGCATTTGTCTTAGCATCAGTTTGCTTTTCTCTAATTCCTAGTTATTAAAAGTAGCCCATGAGTAATTGTCTGTGCTAAACTAGAACCCTTATATTTTTTACCAACGTCACATGAAAGACGTTTATGTAATCATTGGTTTATTCTACAGATAGGAGACGCTCTTGACATCCTTGGCCTAGTTTGTCAGTACAACTTTCCGAACCTGGAAAATGCCCTTTCTGCACACTTTGTTCGTTCCTTAACGCCGAACAACGTCTGTCAGATTTACGACGCCGCAATAACCTATGACCTCGATGATCTGATTGACGCCTGTTTACAGACAATAGATCGCGCACCTGCTACTGTATTGGCGCACCCACAGTTTCTCCGTCTTTCCCGAGTAAATCACCACTTGTTCTCTGTTGTTACTCTCGTTTTTTTCCATTGTCTACCTGTGTGTTCAATGCATTCGGCTAGTTCAAGGTATACCAGCATCCGCTCAAGTATTTAATGTAGTCATGTCTTGTATCATTGCTGCTTATGTGTTCACCGCTTTAACCGTTTACCTATTTCAGGAGTCTGTATAAATTTTTGAAACATACTAATGTTTGCCATACATGCAATGGAAGATCAGAAAGGCACTTAAAGAGACGGATTTTTGTCGTTTAAATTAATGTTATGCGTATTTCATTGCAATTTGCATTAAGTGACAGTCATCTTATGTCAAATAGTGTGGTTTCATTGTAGTTTTTCTGTGGCTCGCACACCCTGATGAAGTAAATGGATTGAATAAGCATAACCGCGGCTCATGCTCGCTAAAGAGCCACAAGAACTGGAGTCCTTTATAAGCCGTAATACCACTTGTTTGATTTTTTTTCTAAATTATCTTTTAGGAATTCAGAAAACTTAAATCTGCATGTGAAAACCTGGCATAGGTCATTGTTTTGCAAAACTACTAAATCATCATTATCATTTTTTCGATTGTGGTTTTAATTCGTTAATGGATCATCGAGGCGAATAAGGTCCCACACTTGTGATTGGGAAGTCGGTCATTCGATGAATTATCAGGCTAGGTGCAATAAGTGCGTTTGAAGCATTATGCTTTACTATGGTTTTGGATATTCAGGTAAACACAACGTTAACTTCTAATAGCGTCGTTTTTAGTTGTTTTTTAACACCTAATATCTCCTTCGGCTTTAATGTGTGATAACTGGCCAGGGAAATGAAACAGTGTGACAGGATGAGTTCTCTCACTATCCGGTTGCAGGTAATACCTATTTAAATTCGCATGAGTTTTAGGACAAATTTTATCCAGATTAATGATTGACTTGCAATGGTATGAGCTTATTGACAACAATCTGTGTGTTGTATCAGCCACGTTTCACTTGCCAGCACTCAATTTCACCACTTTTGTGTTATCTTTACCCACTTTTTGTTAACTTATTGAACATCTTATTATACCAAACTGTACTTAATATACTAGGTAGCTTATCAGTTCCTGATGCAGTTTTATTTTTCAACTTGTTCATAGGCTTCAGTTATACGAATGCTCTCACGTGATAGTTTCTACATCCCTGAAGTGGCGGTCTTGCACGCAGTTCAGGCTTGGCTAGATGCTGACTATCAGGCGCGGTTAAGTAAATTTGCCACTCTATGCGCTCCATCTTCATCACTCTCCGTGTCTGTTTCATCACCACTTGGTCACGATGAACAGCAACAGCTGAAATATCCAACGCTGGCAGCGAATGCCGTGCTCTCTGCTCCTCCAACTCTCCCTCCTGTTGGACGAAAACATCCACTTGTACCTGGCACTCGGAGCAACTCGTCGGAGTCACTTTTCAGCTCTGCAAGCACGTCTGATTCAGTTGCCAGTTGTGGTGAGCTTGGTTGTCTTCCTCAACCAGAATTGTATTATAGTATGCCTGTTTCGAGAGCGCTCATTCAAAACTGCGGCAATTGTCTGTACTACATTAGTACGGTTAATTGCACTGCTAAAGCGTATCAAACGGGTGCGAGGAGCACGTTTTTGGGCGTAGCCGTGTAAAAATTTGAAAGTCTTTATTAAAACTGATGTTTTAATCGGAAGTGTACTACGTTTTTATGGAGCACAGTGTCCTAATCTCACAACAGGACAGTAAAAAAACCAATACGCGCCAAGTATGTTTTTACGCCGATTTGGCAAACATGCAGTAACTCATGGCTACTGAAGTTAGCCTCGAAGATTCCGGTGGCTGGACAGTTTCAACGACACGAGTGCGAAAATGCGGCTAATGAAGTGGTAATCTGGTCAGCCTCGGTGTTTCGTTGTTTAAGGTTGAGGTAATTTAACCCAACCGTCTGCCTCACATTGAAGGCTCATGTCCTTTTCGTATCAAGATGGGGAGCTTGTTGGAGTGGATAACAAGTGAGTAACCAGACTGATGTTGAGCTGTCGCAAGGGTCCATCGTCGGAATTAATTCTCCGCATTTTTAAGCTGTCCAACACGATTGCATACCTTTGTGTTTTCTGAACTGAATGTAGCCTATCCAATTTCAAATCAACTTCCATCAGGATCCGAACTTGGCGACTGCCCAGGGCGTTGTTGGCCGCGTGCGTGTCGGTATTTGTGTATGCCACCTTCATGTCTGTCTAGCGGCCTTAGTTGTTTGTGGTTGTTTCCTCAACTCTCATACTACGTCCATGTATGAATGCAAATTCTGTTTGGTTGCTCAATCTAAGGCAATTATCCGTTTCTGTGTTGAGCCTTGCGTAATTTTCTCATGCTGTTAGAAGAAAGTCCGTACTACTCAAGTCCTTCGAATGACTTGTCGGTTAAGTGATAAACGTTTTTTACGAAAGCTGGATGAAAGAATCGCCTGCATAATAAAAAATAAAAATTTGTATCGTTCAAATTGCATTAAAGTCGATTAATTTCTGCTATTTATACACGCTATTAAAATTCGCCACATGTAGTTTCTGAAGGAGGTTTGATTATCTTCGTATTCAAGACCCTCAACAGTCATAATTGCCTGTTCAAGATTTTTTTCGGTTTTTTGTTAACTGTGCATGTGTGTCAAACCGTCTAATCGAGTGGTGTTTAAATGGGTTCCATTTTAATCTAGTAGTGTTTAACCCATATATTGTACAGTGTTGAATCCGTGGTTTAATTGAAGTCCTATTTTTTCTTCGAATTTGTAGAGAGCAACTTGTTTCTTCTCTATTGTAGGTACCAAGTCCAAAGTCAATGACAATGGTCAGTCAGCACTGGAAGAACTACGCACTCAGTTTGAACGTGAGACCGCGGATATACGAGTTGAATTAGTGGGTTGCATCCGCTTCGAACTCATGTCTCTATCGGAGCTCTCTACAGAAGTTAGGGCTTCTCGCCTTCTTTCTCCTGACGACCTATTGGACAAAATTAGTGCAAAAACACAACTTATTTCCAATCAACTTCCTATTCGAGGTCGTCTGCGTAAGTTATGCCTCCTTGGATGGGTCCTTTAGTTCTATTGCAGTCGTCTGGGCTTATGGCTACCACCCACCACCTCATGCAGGCCATTTTGTTCCACTTTTGTGTGTAATATCGCCGAATAAAGGTGTTTATACGTGGTAGCAAAACGTGTTTAAATTAGAGCTTCCCAGTTTTTTTTACATTTCTAACTTCAGTAATTAAAACACTGTGAATTTCTTAATTGCCAACCCTAATCTTCTAGAAGATCTTGTTTCCGCTTACGTAAATCTTCCTGTCGTCATCTGAAGCTTATTATGTTTCTCTAATTCTGTCTGTAAAGTTTCCTGTCTTAGTGACTTTTAAATTGTATTCTGACCTGCATGGTTGCTCACTGTTACATAATCTATCTATGCACTACATTTGTTAACATTCAGCACCTACTTCGAACTTGGGAATTTATGCAGGAACTATTTACAAACTATGCAAAATTGGGTTTATCCAAAAAGCTGCTAAATTTGGGTAAAGTTTCAATGAAATAACCACTACGTGATTTTTAAACTGAGTAGAATTGGTATTAATATTATCCTGCAGAGGTCGCTTACCCATGCATCGTTTTTCGTCAAAAACTTCAAGGAAAATAGCATTCACCGTTGCAGCTCAAGATCTTGGTGCCGGTATCACTCGAAAAATGTGGGGTGGGAGTTCCTGCCTCACCAAACATACTCCAAAGCTGTTGCTTCATGAGGCTGCCCACTTATTCAGATCAATACTTCTTTGTTGGGAATGCTAAAGCTACAACCTTCAAAAACTGTTCGTGAATAATGATTAATCTTAAAGCCACCCGTATCGTATAAAAAGTTGAATAAATGACTAATGCAACACTACCAGTAAATGCCTCTAGTACATAGAAAAAAATATGCTTTATGTTTTGTTTCAATTTGTCTAGAAGTCTGGGAAACATGCTTCCACATTTTTTCACCGTATCTCTCCCCAAAAGCTCGATCCCTGTTTGCTTACGTTCAATTATGTTGAAATCACCAATTTCCCACAAATTATAAATCACCTATTTTTTTAGTTCCTGAAGTCAATCTCGCTGTCCCTCGTTTGGGATGTTCCCTTTTGAAGGGTCAATGGGGTAATTACCCATTCTTTTTCGTGGACAATGGAGACCCATTATCTGCAGCTGATCAATCACTACAAACCTCTGGACGTCGTGATCGCTATCATCAAAGCCGTTCCATTTGGGACGCTAGCTGTGACTGGATGGCAACCTCTTCGAGACCATACGACCGCGAAGTCCAGTTGCGTGGTCGTGGAGATGCCCTGGCTAACGCCTCCGCCTGGGGATTCATGGAAAATGTGGCTATATCTACCCCGGCTGCAGGTAAAAGACAGCATTGACTTCAAATGCTCAGTTCAGCTGGAGACTAACCACTCTTTTCCCGGCACTACATTTGTATTTGACAGACTCAGACGATGTCATTGAATAGGGCTCATCCTTCCAAAAACTTATTTAATGTTTCGACAACGTGCGACGTCATATTAATTGTACGATTGATTCTTCAGTCATAATTTACATGACAAATAGGTCAGATCACGAAATTAAAAAGCAGGCAATAAAAAAGCAGAGAGGCTGGTGGCAAGGTACTTCTATGCTCGGGTCTAAGAGTCTAAGAACACAAGAAGTGCACCCTACCCACTAATTGCCACGTGCCTCAAGAGGTGTATTGTGTCTTGTGCAACGAGGAGAGCCCTCCCTCGGTGCTTGCAGTCCATAGAAGTGG